GAAAACAGGGAAGAAGCCACCGAAATCCCCCCCAAATAGTCACGGGAAACTAGTCAGCAAGGGACCCGAAAATCAGCACATGAGGCAAAGCTTCAGGGTACGGGAAACCAGCCAGCAAGGGACCCGAAGAGCCAACACAGGAGACAAAGGGGCAAGGTACGGGAAACCAACCAGCAAGGGGAAACCGAGAAGACAAAAGGAGGAGAAGAGGCACAAGTGTGGAAACCAAAGAGACTAAGGAAAAGGGGGAATGAATCTAATAAATCTTTAATTTATGAGCTTAAGACACTCTACTAGATATTAATGAGCTGACATCTAGTAGAGGATATTAAAACTCACCAAAAATAAAACCCAACTTGTTTTGATCCCCCCCCTTGCCTACATCAAAGGATAAGGTAGATAATGCGAGTTTTTGCTTTCAATCAGCAATATAAGATTTCTTATAAAATATTGAGGAATGATCACCTCAATTGAAGTGCAAATTCTAATAAAACAAATGATGTCAAGTTTATCATATATGCTACTAATCATTCTTGAAGACAAAGAGTTTACGAACATATTTTGTCTACCAGCAATTATGAGACTTTAATGACTGTTCATAGATAATGTCATGGGACACACACACAAAATATATAGTGACTTGCCAAGTTGATATATCAGTTCCAGAGGAACATGTTGATTCATCAGGAGAGTTCACGATGAATAGGTCGATCCACTAAAGAATGGCAGGAGCAACATATAACTTGTAATGTTCATATCAATTAGCTCATAAATATATGCGGAGAAGTTTGAAAGCATTAACATAAAGGAGCGCAATGAAAATAAGTACTTGCATATAATGATAGATGATATGCAAAGAATGCAATAATTTGTTTACTAATACATAAAAGCAGCATGTGATAATCTGCCAACCAATACGCAATGAACACAATGTGTTACGTACAGGCAAAAATGGAAAATCTATAGCCAATGCAAACACTTGCAGATGGTGCTAAAATATATGCATTCAATGAAACTTGCTCGCAGAAGACTAAAAATGCATGTAGTGGTCTAATCTGTAAGCAAGTGTAGCAAGGAATGCAACAAATGCAAACACACCTACATGTTGTCGTAGTAGTTGTAGGAGGCCCATTACATTCAACATATTCACTATGGATAAATATGAAAGCACAATAACAGATAGCAACATCTACTAGTTAAAGCAGAAGATTTATTAGTGCACTAAAATCCACCTACTAAAAGAGGCAAGTAGTGCATGACAGTCCACCTGTACAAAATAGCAAACAACTCAATCCATAAGCTGCTACAATATTCCACTGGATCTGCAACATTCATGCAAGCGGACAGAAGGCGTTTACAAATATCTCAAAATGCCCCCCCCCCCCACACATGCACTATAATCTGTATGCATATAGGTATGTAAAAGGGCATGTGTGATCACACACCTGCATGGGCCTCGGCGAGCATGTTATGGGCACACAGGTGATGTCTAGGGATGCTGCGCGGGTGAATAAATGAACGAAGTTTGAGCCTGATCCTTCTATATGGATGGATAAGAGTCGACATAGCTCAAATTATCAAACACATATATATTGTCAAAGTATCGATCGGAATATTTATTTTATATATTCATATAATGCCATCAAGGTCTATGACAAAAGAAATTCATAAATAAAAATATAAAGTCTATGAAACCCGATCCTGTGTCGACAGCTCGACAGAGTCGACAAGGTTCAATCCACAAATGTAGATAACCCCCAAACACCCCGATGATGGCAGTGTTGAACGTATATCTCAACCAGAGAGATCAATTTTAAAATTTTCAAAATGCCCTCAAACTTCCACAAAATTCAAGCATTTTTAAGTGGCCTCGAAGTCACCCCGATGATGGCCGTGTTGAACGTATATTTCAACCGGAGGGGTTAATTTCAAATATTTCAAAATGCCTCAACCTTCTACAAAATTCAAGTATTTTCAAGTAGCCTTGAAGTCACCCCGATGATGGCCGTGTTGAACGTACATCTCAACCGGAGGGGTTAATTCCAAATATTTTAAAAAGCCCTCAAATTCCCATAAATATAAATATTTTCAAATGATCTCAGTCACCTCGATGATGGCCGTGTTGACAGAAAATTTCAACCGGATGGCTTAATTCTAAATATTTTCAAATATCTTCCAAATGCCCTCAAAATTCTGAGATCCCAAAACTACAAAAATTCTCAATTCCAAAATTTAAATGTTTAAGATTTGAAATTAATCATCAATAACTTAAAGCAAAATTCATTCACCCCCGCAACAGTTTATTTGGGTGGACAAATTGAAAATAACTTTAGTTCATATAGAGCTAATGCCTAATCGAAAATATCACTAGGACCTATTCTGAAAATAATCTCCTGGCAGTAAGGACGTGGTACATGTCCTTTGACTGACGGTTTTGCCGCCAAATGATACCACATGATAAACAGTTACGACCCGGGACCCTCTAAACCAAGTGGTTTTGCCGGCAAATGGCACCCTGAGATAGCGGTTATGGCTAGAGCCAATACGTTCCTTAGTGACATCAAATCTTTGAGATATGAATCAATATGATATGATCGATATGGCACAAAGCCCTATGTTAGCTAAGGTGATTCAAATTTGTCCCTTTAGACAAACATCCAACCCTGGTTTACAAGGTTCCCTTGGACGAAGCAACCCATGGCTGCTGACAAGGATCCTTCTGTCAGGTTGGGTTGACTACCTCTTCCGACTAAATAAACCAGGGTCTACGATGGCTCGGGACAACGGAACCATGTGATCTTGATTGGGTCCATCATCCATTCCCCACAATCCGTTTTAAGTATGAGATGGTGAAATTTCTATTTTTAAATATCAAAATTTCGGATACCTAAGCCCAATGCTGCTACTTTATTCCAGATGCACATATCTTTACGTATCTGATTGACGACTAGCCTTAATCGAAAGTTCTCTCTCGTTATCAAGATGGGTAATTAATAATAGGGGCTTGCGCCTATAGGAAACCAGAACTCAGATCATATAGTCCTCATAAAATGAGGGCGAAATCTCTGGGTAGTGTCTTATCTACAAATCCATCTGCCTCTAAAATTTATCCCGGAACTTAATCTGTTTAAACTTCCCCCGAAGAAAAACACAGCGGGCGGAGGTCGGGGCCGAATTTTTGGAGCCCACACTTGTACATCTTAGATATAGCTTTTCTTGTAGCGTTGAACTTAGATTCGAACCTATAAATAACAGGCCAGGGGGAGAGCCAGAACACTAATTCATTTTTACTCAAGTTTTGTACTTTTCACAATCTAGTGATCCCAAATCTTCTCACCCTTTATTTCTTCTCTTTCTACTTTTTGTTCTTTTTGTCTTGTTTTTCTTGTTAGTAAGGTTATGGTATTATTAATAGAAAAATTTGAATCCAACATACCTTAAAGGTGTGGTGAGCATGAACTTATCTTAAAAGCAAGAAGCCAAGCACCATGTGAGCCAGAGCAACAAAGCAGAGATGATTCAATTATCATTGATAACCATGACTTGTCACAAAATAGTAGCCAATTAAGATAGAAGAAAGAATTAAAAAAATTATCAAAAAAACATTATAGCGAGTTCTTAAAGCCATTCCTAGAGTAGAAATTTTAGAAGGATCTTCTAATTATAATCAAGTTCTGACATATTTTGATATTCAAAAAGCACAGAAATTTTAAGGCTTTTATGTGACTATCCATATCTGCCATTTTAACTTCTTATTTTTAGTACAAGGCTATTGGATTTTCATCCATATTAATTGTTATTGTAATTTTTATTTTCATTTAAGATAGCTAATAAACACTGCTAGATATCTAGAAGTGATGTGCTGTATGATCTGAATACAATAATAAGTGTACAAAGACCATTACACAAATGCCCAGGTGCAATGTTAAATAGATAAGGGTTCCCACATCATGGATTGATGTGGGCAAAAAAGTTAGTTCGTGAAACTAAAATTAGAATAGATACTTGGAATATAGGTTCTCTTACAGATAAATTAATGGAATTAATAAATATAATGATTCATAGATAAATGAATATTCCATGTATTTAAGAAACTATACTATGATATTTTGGTAGGAGTCGTATTAGAAATGATGTAGATGTGATTATAAATAAAAATTTGAAAGATAATACTATAAAAATTAATAGAATTAGAGATAGAATTATATCTTTAAAATTTTTTTTTTTATGCTAAGATTATTAATTTTATAAGTACTTTTGCTCCTCAAATAGGTTTGAATATGTATTCAAAATTCAAATTTTGAAATTAATTAGAAAAGTTAATACAAAAAATATCTCTTGGAAAAAGAGTTTTTATTGGATGAGATTTAAATAGACATGTTGTTAGAGAGGTAGATGATTTTAAAGTATTCATAATAGCTTGGGTTTGGAGTGACTAATAAAGATGATAAAATCATATTAAATTTTGTTATAGCTTATAACTTTCTCTTTGTAATATCTTGTTTAAGAAAAGAGATGAGCATCTCATCATTTATACGAATGAATATAGTTAAACGTAGATTGATTATTTTCTTATAAGAAAAATAATGAATTATTTCACTCATCTCAAAATATCTAAAGTTAAACATGATATCGTGCTTCAATTTATTTTCATTTTTGATATCCTCACAGCTGTTTGAAATTCACAATATTTAGGTATGTTTGGGACTGTAGCAGCGTTTTATAAAGCTTGTCACTTTGTTGTGAAGGTGTTGAAAAAATAGCTTTCCACCACAAAATTTTGTAAAAAGAAATGAAAAATCAATAAGAAAACAGTAGCAAAATAAAATTGTTGTTGTTGTTTGAAAAAATAAAATAGTTCGAAAATTATCCCAAACACACTCTTAGTTTGTATTTGTTCTTCTTATTCCCTATCATGCTGATAAAACTACCTATCATATGTGAAATATAATTGTTAGCTTCCCCTTAAAAAATTGTTAACCATTTCTATACATTGGCAGATATTGAGCAACTTTTTGCATACTGAATATGGTGGTCCTGGGACTCTCCTTGTCGTCCCCTTCATCGACATGGCTGATACTATCAATGAAAGAGGACTACCTGGAGGACCTCAAGCCGCACGTGCGGCAGTCTTATGGGCACAAAAGCATATTGATAAAGACTGGAAAGATTGGACTGGAGATCCCAATCTCTGAATAAAGTTTTCTCTTTTGCGGAGGTGGGGGAAAATGAATTAAGTTTTTCAACTGGTAATTTGGATCTTCCTTGCACGTGTGCATTGATGAGTTTTGTTTTGATTTGCTGTGCTGTACTGTAAGATTACCATCTGCAATGTTCTTACAGTTGATAACTATTTGGTAAAAAAAATGTCGGAATAGTTATTAAGTGATTGAATCCTATTATATTAGAAAAAGTTAATTTTAATTGATACATAAGTAATCAGAAGTGTATTTATGAAATAGAGTAATTAATTTTCCGGCCAACTAATATTTTTGGGTGATCATCTGAGTTATTGTGTTAGAGAGTATAGTTTTTTTGCTTTTAAAAAAGTTCAGTTTTTTCCCCTGCTTATTTTTAAATAAATGCATTAAAAAAATTTTTTGGAGGCATTTTTTTATGTATTTATGTATGTTTTCCAACTGGTAATTTGGATCTTCCTTGCACGTGTGACATTGCTGAGTTTTGTTTTGATTTGCTATGCTGTATTGTAAGATTATCAATTTATCATCTTCATTGTTCTTAAAGTCTATAGCTAAAACTGTCAGAATAGGTATACAAGTAATTTGAAGTGTTTATTTATGAAATAGAGTAATTAGTTTTCAGGCCAGCTTTTTTTTTTTTTTGAAAATCATCTAAGTTATTGTTGTAAGAGAGTATAGTTTTTTCTTTTTTGCTTTTAAAAAGTTTAAGTTTTTTTTTTGCAAACTGTTTCGAAAGCTCTATAGTATACTATTCGGAAGAATATTAGAAAGTAGTTTCTTTTAAGTTGCTGAGATGAAAAAATGGAGAGAAGTTTAGGAGTTTGCTTTATGATTTGGGCTGAATGATTCTTTCTTGTCTGCTGCTTTGTCATTTTCAATTCTAACTTGAAAGCTCTTTATTGGTTTTGTTATGTATATTTGGCCTATGCGGGTATTTTGATGCTGCTCTTCTTGCGGGATTGCTGCCTAACTCGCTCATCCTATTCTCTCTTCATCTTTTGGCTGTACTCGATTTTGGCGATTGGCTCAGAGATTGGTATTTGGGGCAAGGATGAATATATTGCATCCCTCATTCCCTACATGGCGGCTCTTAGCAACATTAACTTTATATGACGGCAGTCCACAACCTGGGAATCTGGTGGCTTTGTGGATGCAATTTCCCATTTTTGAGCCTTATGGTGAATTTTGGTGGCTTCTGCCGTCATTTGCTTTCTCTGCTGCTGTGTTATTTTCGGTTCATCTTTTGCCCGGTGTATATTTTTACACTTTTTTTATGAGCTTTTGCTCATTGTTCTTTCCTATAGTTTTTTAGTTCTATACTTTTGTTTTTGATTGTTTACTCAATCTCTCACTTGTAATTATTTTCTTATAAATGGAAGTTGAGCTCAGCCCTTAATTAAAAAAAAAATCAGTTTTTTCCGACCTTATTTTTAAATAAATGCATTATAACAATTTTTTGGGGAATATATATATATATACACATGTGTGTGTATTTATGTATATTTTTATAATCTTTACATATATTTTTATATTCTTTTAATTTTTAAATCATATTAAAGTACATAAATGGAAATGTGTTTGTCTTTGAAGAAGTTGATATTGGTTGTATTTTTGATATGATTTTCAATTTTGAGTTTTATATAAATGTATAAATATATAAAAGTTTAGCTGAAATTTTTAGAAGTTTTTTTTTTAAGTTTTTATTTTAAAAATTTTCCTCAAAATTATTTTTTTTATAACTTCAAAGAAATTGTACAAAAACTAAAGTTTTTTCTATAACATTAAAGAAAATTAAAAAAAATTATTAGAAATATAGTTATATTGTTAAAAATCTATTAGTTTTTTTTTTTTCATTAGAGAAATAAGTTGGTAGTTATTAGAAATTTTCTTAGAAATAAAATTTAATTGTTAAACAAATTAATTAGAAATTTAATTAATATGAATATATCACATAACTAATATTATACTTTAATTTATTTAATTTATTAAATTATAATTAATAAAGAGGTACAGAATGAAAGATAAAAATCGATAATATAATTTCAAAGCAAAAAAGTTAAATTACATATTATAAATGTATGTATAAATCACTTGTTAAAATAATATTTATGTTGCTTGTCATTAGTATATATGACAAGATGGATTGCATGCGGTCTTTACATGCATTAATGTGGTTCGCTCCTTGGTCTTTCATGGTCCTCGTTTTATTATTATTATTATTATTGTTTTTTTTTTTTTTTTTACGATATCCTTCATCACCAACACCAACTCTTGGTTGTTATAGTGAGAAGTATTATTGAACAAAAATATTGTTAGTATGAGATGAAAATATTATGAAGAGAGACGGTGCCCATGTTGTAGATTGTTGCACTAGATTTGTGGTTATTATGAAACCATAAAAAAGGGCCTTGTTGACCCATGGATGCCAAAAAAAAAAAAAAAAATCTTGCTTAGATCCCTCTTACCAATTCGAAGTATTGAACGAAGTGGTCTTTAAAAATAAGATGATGACTCTGAAATAGTTGTACGAAATAAGGCTAGACTAGTAGCCAAGGGGTATAACCAAATTGAGGGAATAGACTTTGAGTAAACCTTCGCCCCAGTAGCTAGACTAGAAACCATAAGATTGTTGTTAGCCTTTTCTTTCTTCAAGGATTTTAAATTATATCAAATGGATGTTAAGAGTGCCTTCCTAAATGGGGTAATCAAAGCGGATGTTTATGTTGAGCAACCCCTCATATATGAGAATTCACAATTTTCAAATCATGTTTTCAAATTGAAAAATGTATTGTATGGGTTAAAGAAAACATCAAAGGCTTGGTCTGAAAGGTTGAGCACCTTTCTACTAGATAGAGGATTTGTAAGGGTAGTGTGGACACCACCCTCTTTCTAAAAAGGTAAGGGGATGAGATACTCGTCGTTTAGATTTATGTAGATGATATCTTATTTGATTTTTCAGAGAAAACCTATGTGATGAATTCTCAAAAACAATGAATAATGAATTTAAAATGAGCATAATGGGAGAACTTACTTTTTTTTTTTGGATTTAGTATGAAATAAAGGGATGATAGAACCTTTCTTAGCCAATCTAAGTACATCAAGAGAATTCTAAAAAAATATGAAATTTATAATGTTAAGGCTATGAATACTCCCATGAGCTTCACTATTCAATTAGACAATGATCAAAATGGAAATTAAGTAGATCAAAAAATATAAGGGAATCATTGGATCCCTTCTCTATTTGACAGCCAGTAGTCTGGACATAATATTTAGTGTATGTCTCTGTGCTAGATTTCAGACTGACCCAAAAGAATCTCACTTAACTGCTACCAAGAGTATCCTTAGATACCTACTAGGAATCCTAAACTTAGGAATATAGTATCCTAGACACAACACTTCTATTAAAATCATAGGATATTTAGATTTAGATTTTGATTTTTTAGGATGTAGGACAATCCTTAGTTTTCTAATTCAGTAGAAAATAAAATTCAATAGCCCTTTTCAAAGCTGAAGCAAAATATATAATAGTAGGGAGTTGTGTTGCTCAAGTTTTATAGCTAAAACAACAACTCTTAGATCTTGGACTACCTATAGGAATCATCCCAATTATGTGTGACAATACTAGTGCAATTTGCATATCAAAAAATCCAATTCAACACTCCTGCACAAAGCATATACACATTAAGTATCACTTCGTAAGAGATCATGTAGCCAAGGGAGATATAAAGTTACACAATATAGCTACAGGAGATCAATTGGCAGACATATTCAAAAAATCACTTGCCTATGAAACCTTTAGCACCTTGAGGATAAAACTAGGTGTTAAAATATTCATGCTTAATCCAAGAATATATATATATTCTATTTACAAACAATCAAATTTATATATGTTTTTAACTTGCATGTGTTTGTTAGTGTACTGATTTTTATTTATTTATTATTATTTGTTAAATTAAAAAAAATTGTTATATGTATGTGTTTGGTCTTATGTATGTTGTTTATCATTTATGTTTAATTTTTTTTTTTGGTTTAAGATGTTTCATAATCATCACACTCACATCTCACTGAATCACCAAAATTCTCAACTTTTTGTCCTTATCGTACTTACAATACATAGTTGTATTATACGATATTCACAAATACACAAATCACAACCCTTTGTTTAATCAACACTCGAGATTAGCTCACTAATATACACATCGTACAATACGAACCACTACTCATACTATAAAATCCACGTGTCACTAACTGTTGAGGAATTCAATTTGTTTGGTATGATTTTTTTTACATTCGTTCTGTACATTACCTCCCTTCGTACGTTACGATCCACGTGTCAAACTGCATTGTGAAAAATTTAACTCATCCAGTATGATAATAATTGCACTTCTTACTATATGATACTTTTCGTCAAAGGTCATACCGACAATTCCTCAGGATGAAAGAAATTCTTTAAGATCATCCAGTATGATACTAATCATACTATATGATTTGATGACTTTTTTATGACAAGTCATCCATATAAAAATACTGCTCTAATTGTACTGTACAAACATTTTCATACTGTATGATTGGTGAAAAATTTTATAAATTGGAGTGTTTGTATGGTTCAACTCATTTAACTTTCTTGAAACTCTTATTCGCTCAATCTTTCTATCCAATGGTTGGTGGAAGCAAATGTGGCAGATTGATCCATGGGAGCTCCTCCTCTCATTATTCTGGATATCATTTTATTTTTGCTGCAGATGAATATCCCTATTGTAAGTTCAAAGAGGCAAAGATCTCCCCATCTCGCATGTTAAACCAACCAGATCGAGGTTATAAACATTTTTGCCTCTACCACTCTCCAATTTCTTCTTACTTTGTCCTTCCCCTTTAACTTTGAGGTCCTATATTAATTCTTAGGAAACCTTATGATAAATTTAGAATGCACCACCTTGACTTCGTTTGTCTACAAATAAAATATAGAAATCACTAAATGAGATCTAACATAACACATAGGACTCTCTACCAAAGGACCTCATCCCAAATCTCTGATCTCAAATGAGTTTGATTGCACTTCCATTAATCTGATGCTTAGGAATGTGCCCTCAAACCAACACCAACCCCTTATCAAATCTCTAACTCAGAATGCTCGTATCATCCAGCACGTCCTTCGAATATCCATTATACACAAAGCAGGGGATTGAATGAACATAACCCCACTATTTTTTTAGTCACTTGCTTAATCATGTCAGGTACTAAATTTTATGAAGCTCAAATGATTCCAGATTACATCTATAACATGATCACTATTCGACATCTAAGTGCTCAACGTAAATAAAATATTACCTTAGGATATATCATAGGGTACATCCTCAACATCAAATACCAACTCAATTTTCTTATTCCACCTAACAATCTTCCTATATTTTATATGGATGCCTCATTCCATATTCTTTCCTTCAGGGGAAAGATCACGTTGAGCCAAATTTTGATGAAGAAAGGGACGCAGCTCACGCAGGAGGACCACCATCACCAATACCACCACCTACACCTGCCTACCCTACCTACTCTCAGGACAATATTGTTCAACGGCTCAAGTGACTTGAAACTCGACTAGATTACTACATTGACCAACAACAATGAAAACACGAGGAAGATATGCGATTGTTTGGTTTAAGATTTACCTCAATAGATCATCAACTTGCCTCCATCCATTCATTCTTTTAGCCACCACCACCACCACTTGATTAGGATCCACCTTTCGAGTAGTCTTTGTTTGTTATTTATTTTATACTGCTATGTTTCTTGGGTTGTGTGATACTCCTCTTTTTGGTGATGTCAAAAGGGGGAGCAGATGTCCTTTTATTTTAGTTGATTGTATATTTTATTATTTTTAATATAATTGTCTGCTTATATTTTTGTGTATTCTTTTTTTTTTTTTTTTGTCGTCTTAAGAAAAAGAAAATAAAATATTAAATTAAAGATTTTGTTTGTAGTATCCCAAAGAAATAAAAAAAATTTCATTATCTAGTGAGGGGGATTTAGGAAGAAATAATACTTATCTTGCCTATCAACTATTATTATTTGACATCATCAAAAAAGGGGAGATTATTGCAATCTAGGATCCCTAATCCATTATTTTGATGATGAAAAATAATATTAACTTAATTATTATTTTCTTTCTTAAATATTTTAGATGCTATTTTTATTTGTCAGCACTAACATTATAGGTAATATACACACCGCTCAAGGCTACTGAATACTCAAGAATGGGTAGAATATGATGTGAAAAAGTATGTATTTTATATTTTCTTTATTTTTTATTCCTTGAGTCTGATCACAAAAGAGTGTATGTAGAGTGGGTAACCATGCACATACACACAAGGAGATTTTTTTAAAAATAAAATTTTTTAAGACAAATCATAC